CATCTGATCAATTAATGAAAGTGTCACTGTTCACCAACAAGACCAATGTGAAACCAGACACCATATATTGCACTCTTGGTTTTCTTTGTTGGAGAGTAAGAAAGTTTGGTATTTGGTCTTTTCCATATAAAAAATGATAATGTGTTGTATGTAATGCTTTCTATTCTCGGAACTCAAGTGTAGCTTCTCTGGAAAGTTTCCAAGAATGTGTCAGCCATATACTTTCCCTGAGTTCAGCTTCTTTTCAGTACTTTTTTTTCTTCTTTCAGTCACTTAGTGTTTATTCTTCACCTCAAACTCACTGTCTTTGACAAATTGTCTCATGAGCCTCATATAATATATTCTTCTCTGCCAGCTCCTGATTGCTCACCTATTGTTTATTCTGATTTTGAACAGAGACAAAGTAAACTCTTTTACGTAAACTGCTTTTTGTTTACCTTCTATTGCTTGCTTCCAAGTCAGCTGCTTTTCACTGGGTCCAGGAAGAGCATCTGCACAAAGAAAAATACTGGGTTATTTTGTCTACCCAAACAAGAGGTTGAGCCTATTGTTAAGTCATGAGATGGCATGGACTCAAAGAGAGAAGCTCTGGTATTGTCAATATGCCTCAGCGCTGTGTCTCTTGCTCTCTGAATGTTCTGAGTCAACAATTATCTTCGATTGTCATTCGATAAGGTAAGTCAAGCCATTCAGTCCGCATGCCAATGTCCTTGGGCAAGACACTGAACCCCAAATTTCCCTTCAAAGCTGTGCCATGTGTGAGTGATGCATGTGACATATGCTGTAAATATTTTATTGTAATGAGATATAAAAATTCTAATTAACTATTTATGAGGTAGAAATAACCCAACATTCAAGGTAATACGAACCCACATTTGGATAGAATATTCAACACATATTGCCAAGTGCTACATGAGCAACCCATCTTGCTGTGTTAGATTAACCCAGCGTATGATTCGGTACTTTTCAATCCTGAGTTTTCTTGAGGCGTTCCGTATTTTGCCAGATAACCAACAGATGATGGGCATGGCAAACTTATGTACAGCCAAACAACGCGGCAGAATGAAAAGTGATCAAAAGTGATCAAACTTACCCTTGTGCAGAGCGGGGTTAGGTTCTCCATGTGAGTTGTCACTCAGGTTGGCAATGCTCTGACTTTCTGTAAAAACCTTTCGGTTTATTCTACTGAATGGGGATCCCTGTAGGGGACAGTAAAAGAAAAACATATTTTTAACACAACATATTCTTCTCTCGGCTTTCAGTAATATATGACATAATGGCCCAAATCATTTAGCGGCATGTACGTTATTATGGGATTCTTGCAATTACCGTATTGGAGATAAAGAGTTCACTTCTATTCATTCCACCTGGGGCTGTGCTGCTTTTCTTTCCAGTTTGAGGCAGCCGTACTGAAGGCCTGGAGCCCGACGCTGTGTGTAAAACACCCTGGGGCCTGGTTGGCTGATGACTGGTTGATCTGGCAGTGACTGTCTGATCAGAACCTGCATATAAATTTCAAATTATTATTTTACCATAATTGCTCTCTAGTATTAATAAAATAAGATAAGATTTGCTTTGCTTATGGCTATGTCATTGTCAGTCAGAACAATGTTCATGTAACCACAGCAACTGCCAAAAGTTATGCTAAAGATTCAAAGAAGTGACATAGTTCACATGTATGAAAAATTAAAGCTGCGGGTCAGTTCAGAGCAGTGTTTTTATGTTCAGTGAGAAGCCGCCCTCACACTAACCAATGCCCTTTCAAAGTCTATTTTTTATTAATATGAACAGCATGGCTTTACACATATATCCACTGAAGTAATATGAGAGATATACTGACAATATACAGCAAACATAACCACACAAAACTACTAAGATCTCTTGCTTATCTCAGATCAGTGTTATAATGTTTAACATAACTCTGCAGGCTGCAGCAGTACGACTTTGAGTTAGAGCCTATTCATCCAAACATGTAGTTTACACACAAAGAAAATAAATGGTTAAATATAAACTACACAGCTGCTGCTTAGCTGATTGCGTTGATGTTTTTCTTTTTAATCTATCAATCTGTTTCGTATCATCATGTAAAAATAATGGGCTGTAGTGGGAGCCATGACAGTGGCCATGACCTGAACCTGCTAATTCTTTGCCAGGGCTCATTAGGACAAGTCCGCAGGTGACACCCGGCAAAAACACACTTTCTGTCTGATCTTTATCAGAGCAGAGCCATCACACACATCCGGTCCACAAAACACACTAAAATCCCAAAACACGATGCAGGCAAAGCTGAATGTGCTGGATTTGTTAAGAGTGAAGACAAAGGAAAAGTTGAACTCTTGATGCAGCAGATTCAACAATGGAACCGAACACTTAAATGACCCCAGTTTAGGAGCAAGTATATTTCAGTTGGCTTTAAAAGCCTATAAAAGACTGTGGTAACAGTGATGATAATGGTAAAAAATAAGAGAAAGAGAGAGAAGTTTTGAATTTGTGTAAATGGACTGACCTTGAGTATAACAGAACATATTCAATGTATTGGTGTTTGTTTTTTTTTTTGCTCTTTTTTTCTGCATTTTACTTTTAACTGTTTATTTCAGACTGAGTACTGAAGAGACAATTCACCGAGCAACTTTTGTCGCAGTTAATTGGATGCCAACTTTAATAGCAATCGTATTAATTATGATTAGAAATGTTATGCTAATAATGTAGATGCTAATTATGAAAAGCTTTTTTTTTGGCTTGTGGTTATTGCTCTCCATGAGCATTGACTCAACTTGACTTAGACAGCTGTCAGAACAAATAAATATGCGCTGACAAAAAAGGCCATAGAGGCGGGGGGGCTAGACTACTGGTGCATGCCTTTTGAGGAGATAATTGCAGCTCTCTGAGAACAGGTGAGGTACAAATGAACAGAAAAATGAAGACCACGAGCATGTCATACAGGGGAAAACAAATCGATTATCCTCATGGTCTATTTGGAGAAAAACAATTATTCTACGTGAAGCCATCTCTGCACTACAATGCTTCTCAAATACTGTGACATGGGGTGATTGTGGCTGAACCTGCTGTGATGCATTAATAAGGAGACACTAAACAGCCAAAAGTATGCAGACACATGAACAAACTATGTGGATATCTGAACATTACACTTTACACTTTTGCCAAAGCTTCCCATGAAATTCTGGAAACGGACTGCCACAGGAGCATTGGTGAGCTGAGCACTGATGTAGGATTAATCGCCTGGCTGAATTCCAATTCATTCTAAATGTGTTGTTGAGGTCAGAGCTCAGTGCAGGCCGGTGAAGGTTTTCTACACTGAACGTAGAAAAAGCCATTTCTTTACAGAGCTTACTTTGTGAAAGAGGGCTTTGTCATTTTAAAAACAGGTAAGGGCTTTCTCCATACAGTTACCACAGCACCAAAGCACACTAAACATTTGTATATATTCTGCAGAAATAAGATTTCCCTTGACTAAAACATGATAAACACTCTGTAAAGAATGCATAAGTAAGGGTCCAATTTCCTTTAAAGTCCAAGTTATTTGCTTTATTCTATTCATCTACTGACCAATTCAAAATATTTGCCTTTTTATTTGACCTACCACATTCAGAGTTTTCACGAACAGTCCTCATATCTGACTTCTGCATATTCTTCATGTTCAGTATCTGGGTTACGTGGTTTACATCTGATGGGAACTGGCAGCTACGTGGAATCAAGTCCATGAGACCAGCTCCACTAAGAAACATAACTAGGAAAGGAAAACAATCATTAGATTAATCATTATCATACAATAAAGCTAAAAGAAATTATTATGACATCAAATAAAAAGAGTTACAGCCCTGTAGTAGTAAGCCTCCGTCAACCAGTGCTGTTTCAGTAAACATACTTTGTTTTCCATATTAGTTCATTGTGACCTGTGACCATTGAGATCTCAATGAATCTTTGAGTCCAAGTAATAACTGGTCGAAGGCAGACGTAAGATATCATGTTGGCAAAAGCATGTTTGTGAGACCACTGTGAGCTTAACTTTCGACGTTTGATCACCCAAATCTCATTGGTCCATCTGTGAGTCTACCTGAAGATCTGTGCCAAATTTGAAAAGATTAGATAACGCGTTCACAAGGCAAAAATATGTTTTGTATGTTCGACCACCAATTTCAGTTCATCCAAATCTATACCAAATCTGAAGAAAATCTGTTTTTGAGATAACAATGTTCACAAGAATGGGACAAAAGGACAGACAACCCTGTAAACATAATGCCTCCGGCCACTGGCTGTCCCCAGCACAGAGGCATAAAAATTGCCACTGTGACTAAAGTGAAAAATGACAACCTGTCTAAAATGGCAGGTAGACTAGATGTTCAGCGAGTAAACAGAGCTGAGTGCAGCTGTTTGTTAGCAGTGCTGGGCTACATCAGAGTTAAACACATAACACCACTGAGCTTCTCCCTGTGTCTGTCTTCCCACACACAACTTCATACAAACTCACTACAAAGCTATTCAAAGTAAAGTCTTCAATGGCAACTCTTAAGTAACTACTCTCGGTGGGGACTTTATGTTCAGCTGAATCATTCATTACCGTCATCTGACATTCCTGCAGGCTCAGATTTCATGGTGAAGATTCGGCGGACTTTACACGTAGCAAACAAAGTGATGCCATCCAGTTTCAAAAATCCCTTGAAGAGTCCAGCAGTGAATGACACAAGGTCCATGCACAAAGTAGACCACTGAAACATCAGAAAGAATGAGATTTTCGAGTTAAAATAGCCCTTTAGAGATACAGCTCAAGACTTAAAATTGAATACAAACACATTTCAGCAATTAAATAGTTAATGGATAAAAGTAAATCTAAAAACATTAAATGAATACAGGATGGATGAGTTAGGTACTCACAATATCCCGCTTCAATCCAACAAAAGGTATCCTTGCATGTAAAAGAGTGGCAGTCAACTCTTTATGCACGGTAGAAAAGTAAAGTCTTCTTTTCATATGCTCTGAATCAGTTATTCTGTGGATATCAGACAACAGATCAGAACATAAATTATCACCAGCATCAGTGGTGTCACAAAGACGTCGTGACCATGAGAAAGACCCAATCTAAAGTTTTCTCCCATTTATCTGGAGCTATGAAATCTGCTGTCATAAAAACTCAAAAGTACATTGCTTCCAAAAACGAAAATGGTAAGCAACTTTCTGCTATTAAATGATTTCAACATTTGAAAGTATGTCCTCCTAAGTTGATGTTCTATATGGTTTCCATGAGTATGTTGATGAATACCAGTCAGAGCCTTTAATAATTATAATTTGACGACAAGGTGAATTTACAAGGCGTTTAAGCACAACTCTAAATGAAGAGTTTAAAGATAAGATTCCTGAATAGCCTTGATTGCATGAACTGTTTCATTGATTTTAAAAACATTCATATCTCACAAAGTGGCTTTCTTCTTCCACTGACTAAATGCAAGAACGAAAGTAGATTATACAATCACCACTGGCAAAATGTGTGCACATTACACTTCACTTTACAAATTTGGCTCATACATCTGTATGTAACCTTGTAGAATTTACCCTGGTTAGCAAGATAAAAGCCTTCTTTGCAGCAAATGATTTAACAAGCTCTTGATGATAAATGGTTATTCAAGCCATTACATAACAGTCATTGCACAAAAGATGCACTCAATATTTCAGGTGGCTCAAGGGGTTTCCCCCTATGAGCTTTTATTTTTTAAACTCTTTCACTTTTTTTATTCAGTGGACTGATGGGAATTACCTGTGAATAATTATTGTGATCAAACACTTAAAACCTTATATTATTATCTATGTCCATTTATCAGCCACAAAGTTAATGACCTATTGAAAATCCACATATGTACATTCTCCCGCAAACGTTGTTCAAGGTGAGCAGTCATGTATAAGCTTTTTTTTAATAAAGTACTTACACTAGCTCGATTGAAAAATCTTTGCCATGAGGAATATTCACTTGAAGGACCAAGAATCTTTGGAGGAGCCCAACTGAGAAAAAAAAAATGGGCAAAGCAGTGAATTATTATTAAGTGGGAATAAGCAAAACAAACTTTATAAATGAGTGCAAGCATGGTGGTGACTTACGAGATGTTTTCCCATTCTCTGGCATTTGCATCTTGACGGTCTGGCTGCTTCCCTCCAGACAGTAAACAAATCCTTTGACTTCTTTATTATACTCCTGCAGGAGGAAATAACAGAGGAGGCCTTGCTATGTCTAAGTCCAGAGTGTTATCTACCTGCAGTGTGATTGCTGTCACTGACTGCAAATGCTTGCTTTTGTCAAACAAAAATGACACACATCCATGCACACACGCACATTGATAGATAGATAGATAGATAGATGGATGGATGGATGGATGGATGGATAGACATTTCCTATGTTGTAAGCAATATCAGACAGACAGACAGATAAATAGATAGATAGATAGATAGATAGATAGATGTCTGCAAGGGTTTGGAACGGTATACGTATGTTCTGGGTGAATTATGTTTTTCTTCAGTGAAAATATAATGTTGTAGTTTACAATGACACCAGTAAGGTCTGACAATAGCATGCAAAAATGTCATTATGGACATCAATGTAAACACATCATGTACAAGTAGGGCTGTACGGGGATGTACTGGATCTGTCCAGGGATCTGTAGTGGTCACCTGTAAAGCTGCAAGGCAAATGTAAAACAACAGACTTGCTTCTCTTTAGCATATCTTTTATCTTCAATTTCCTACAGTTGCATGCAGGAATGAGAACACAGCTCTTCAGTGTCTATTCAGTGTGTGATGATTAGCTCAATGGACTGTGTCAGATAACATCTCTGGGCTCTGTGCTGCTCAGCTTAGTTTACACATATGACGGTAAAGATTGGGTTTAATCGCCATGTTGGAATGCAACTCTGCAGACTCACCTTCTGTATGGCCGACGATCCCCCGCTTAGTTTCCACCTAGCTACGGGATCTTTGCCCTGTCCGCTGAACACCTCCACCACAGCTCCACCCTGCAGGCAGCACACAGGTGTTGTTGTTGTCGTTAGCATGCAGCTACTGTCTTGAAGAACGGAGGACGAGCGCTGAAGTATTAAACTTACCTGGTAGTTGCTCCTGAACATTTTACCTGACGTCACGTGGACGCTAAAAGAAGTAAAACGACGCGTGTATTTATCCACATGTGAAATCCTGCGTGTTAAATTATCACGACGCGTTTCAACAAGTCACTGAGGAAAAGCTAAGCGTCTTGTAATCATGTTCAAAACGCGAGTTAGCGGAGGAGCTGTGTGACACTGACGAGCTAAGAGCTAACGCAGGATGTGTCTCCATGGTTACGGACGTCACCCAGCCAATCAACCAACGTCCACAAGTTTTTTTCAACATCGAATTTTTTACAAACAAACAAAAGAAGAAAAAAGAAACGTCTCCCATGACAACAGATGACATATGACGTAAAGGTGATACATAGGTATAAATAAATTAAATAAAAATTATAAGTGCCAATGTCAAACATAATAAGAGTTGAATATAAATATGATGACAGTTAATCATGTTAATAATTACATTTACAATTGGCCTATATATGTATTAGAATGAATTTTGGCTCAGATGTGAGATGTTTTTTTTTTTCTTTTCATCCTGCTTCTTTTTACAGGAGCTGAGTTCATCTCAGGCCATTTTAATGAATTCCAGCAGTTTCTAATTTCGTATTTTCCAATGTCTGGTTTTATTTCACAATCCAAATGTTGGTATTTTAACTGCATATGGACAGTTTTGTTTTCAGTCAAAGCATGATGATCTGTTGCATTGGTCTGAGAGCAGACGGAGAGTCATTCTAAACTGTCCTAAACATTTATTTCTCAATATCTGAGACCAGTGACGAGTGACTAAAAACAACAATAAACAGGAATAGATCCTGTGGAGTTTGGCAAATTACGCCTTTGTCATTAGCCTACGGTAAGATTTTAAATAAACATCATACACTGCTATGTTGCTAAACAGAACAGCTAAAAATAGGCCAGTATTAAAGTTTTATCCTCTCTTGAAATGCAAAAATCCATTATTGTGTCATTGTCACTTGCTTTGTTTACCCTGGCAGCATGGCTATTATGAGATCAAAAAGATGTCTTTTTAATTAGCTTCTGTGGGAGACTACATCCGGAAGTACAACTGTATGGCTTACCACTGATTCAAGTGTTTGCATGTGTCTGACTTCAAACACAAGGTGGTCTCAGTTATGTACGGATATAGAACAAAAAGGCACCACAACACAAAAGATATGTGCCCACTTACACCTATGACTGTGTTCTATTGTTTTGGAGCAAAGGCCACTACAGAGTTAAATATCACTGTCCTCGTTTATATTCTCGTGCATCTTAGGTTTCAGTCTCACTGTGGTGACACTAAAAAACATCCTCTGATGCAGCAGCAAACATTTCTGTCCTTAAAACATTTTCACAATGAAGGTTGAGAACACAGTGTAAAAATAGGAATGTCACACACAGTAGTTATGATGCCATGTTTTTATGTAGTGAGATACTTTCAGGAGCTTACCATCCTTCAGCACACACATGGAAATAAATAGTGTATAAACTAGCCTGGGTTACTATCCAGGTGAAGTGGGCACCTACTCTGGTGCTCTTGGGCCAATCAGCCCCAGGGTTCCAGTGCATTAGCTGTTCCTATGTGTTTTGTTGTGTTGTTTGAAAATGAAGGAGTTTGGTCCTGTTTTGTAGAAAAACCTTTTAAAACCTTTTTATATAATGTTTATGCTTAAATGGTGCACACTCCTACATAAAGATGTGGAGGTTGCTATAAAGGAATATATTTACAGAAGAAAAACAAGATTTGGTGATAAATATGTACAGACATAAAAAAGTAGTCTGCTACCTCTTGCAGATGTGTATAATGAAGTTGTCATTCCGCCTGCTGTCCACTGTACTTAAATATGCACCAAGCTGAAGACATTCACATTGCATTGGGGGCTCGGAATCAAATTTTTTGCCCTTGGGCCCACAAACAGATTAATCCGGGCATCCATATACCATGCTGCTCAGAGCTTACAGGAAATGGATTTCCTATATGATATCACTGCCCTGAGATGGTGTCAAGTGAACTAAGTGGAATTTATCTTGTAGTTCATATTGTACCCTGGATGATGCTCGTTTCTTTCACATGCCTCTCCTTGAACCAGTACACATGCTCCGCATTGTGACTGCAAGGGTTTGTTTTCTCACATTTGCGTTATACAACAATATGCCATCTGGCTTCATCAGACCTATCAACATTTAATCATGTTGATGAAATGTTTATCAACGTGATGAAATGTTCATGTGCCTCTCCTTGTCACATGTGGCATTGTACCTCTGGATAATGAAGGTACTTAGTTAAAGCTACACTATGTAACCTTTACTGAGCAACAGTGCCCCCTGCAGCCACACTCTATATTAATATTGTTTTAAGGTCTTGACCTTTAAATGTAAAGTGCCTTGAGATAATGTAAATTATGAATTGGCGCGATATAAAWAAAATTGAATTGAATTGAATTGAATGTCCTAATTAAATCTGTTGTTGTCCAGGTGATTGAGCGATGTTCACAAAGAGGAAAAACAAAGCCTCTCAATCTGTGACAGTTACACACCTCTTACAGGAGATCACACCTGCTCCCCAGAGTACATAGAGCTAGAAAAGGTGTTTGGGGTGAGGAGTGGGAATGACAGTGACATCATCAGCATCATCAGCAGCAGCAGCATCATAAGCAGCAACAGCAGCAGCAGCAGCAGCAGCAGCAGCAGCAGCATCATTAGCAGCAGCAGCATCATAAGCATCATAAGCAGCAGCAGCAGCAGCAGCAGAAGCATCATTAGCAGCAACAGCATCATAAGCATCATAAGCAGCAGCAGCATCCTGCTGCACCCTCCCCTTCCAAACATGTAGAAAAACCTACAATGGCCTTGGGTCAACTTAAAAATACAAAAATATTGTTTCATCTGTCAGTTATTGTCCACTGTAGAAACATGGCAGTGCAACATGTTGGAATTCATGGAAGAGAACCTGCTTCCATAAAGGGTTCATTCCAGGGTACCAAAAACCCAGCTTTTCTTTGTTTCATGTGATCATACAAGAATGATATTATATTTATGAATCTCTTTTTCTGTCAATGAATCCCAAACATCCCAAAGACTGGACCTTTAATTGTAAATCTCTTTGTGTGTTCTTCTAGAGCTCAGTTGTAGTTTTAGCTCTGCAGAGGAGCCACCTCTGTCCAGTGGATGGTTTGTTTGTTGGTTGATAGGTTTGTTTTTTTTGTTTGTCTGTAGGGTTACACAAAAACAACTGGTCAGATTGGGCCACAAAACAAAACCTGTTAATTTTGGTGAGGAGCAAAGCAAAGGGGCGGGTTTCTTTAAATTGGAAGATCAGGTGGTTGGAGGAGGTATACACTCTACTGGTGCTCTTCTGCTTTATAGATGAAATGAAAATAAAGAGAATGAACTTGAACTTTATAGCCCCACTGGTCAGGATCATTTTTGCCAGCCGTTGCTTATTTGAGTGGTACAAGAACCAAAATGTGCATGTATTAAATATTGCTGATTTTTTAATATAGTTTGTAAAAGTTATAATTATTTTGGTAACACTTTATATTAGGGAACACATATCAACCATTAACTAGTTGCTTATTAGCATGGATATTAGAGGCATATTGGCTCTTTAGTAGTCATTATAAAGCACTTATTAATTCTGCAACTATCCAATCAATCCATTGATTAACAGTTTTCCCTTAATAACCTCCTAATTACTGCTTATTGATGGTAAGTAAGGAGGTTGTTGTACATGAATTACAATCAAGTGCTTGGATATGTTCACTTTGTGTGTTCCCTAATATAAAGTGTTACCATTATTTTTATAGTGTATGTAATTTGCTCCAAGTTTGACAGTAGTATATAAGATGTTTTGTAAGTGTGTTTTCTACTGATTGAAAATATCCCTTTCACATGTGATTGATTTTTATGAAGATCACTAAAGCAAAGTACAACTAGAAGTCCCACTCCTGGAGCTACAGTCACTGTTAAGGACCTCCCTTCTATTACTGCTTTATAATGATACTCAACGCAGAATAGTGTAAGTCAAACAAGTGGCGTCAACAGAGCATGGAACAGTGAAAGGTTTATAATTGACTTTTTTTTTCATTACAGGAATGGTTTGATACTGATTGTGATGGACACATCGTTAAAGTAAAGCTTGTCATGCAGTGAACACTGATGAAGCTAGTGTAGAGAAATCAGTTAATAAATCAGCACTTGTTAGCATACTTAATTATGACTAATTATTCAGTCATTATTATGAAAAGTATCTTTTCATTTACACCAGTCAAAACACATCAAGTAAAGTGGACAATGTTTAATACACAGCAGAGTGGAGGTAAAACAAAATGGTGTTTTTTGCCGTAATTACAGTCATGAAGCTGATCTTTCCAAAATATTGGTTCTATTGTGCGACTGAATTCGTTGTTTACATCAAATAAAATCTGCATTACATATACAGTTTATTTCACTTCTATTGTCTGAACAGAGTTGTTTTTTTTTGGATGAATGAGGCTTGGGTATACGCTGGCAGTGACCCTTCCAGATGAGCTGCCTGCCTAAAGTGCATCATCCATACAGCAGCTGTAAACGTATTTATATCGATTCAGTTTGTGTTTTTCTTCCCCGCATTCATAATCATCATTCCATGAAGCATGAGCCTCTTTCAAAGTAAAAATGCAATAATTCACTGCAAGAGAGTGCAGAAAACAGATAATATATGAATGTAAAACTATAAAAAAATAAGTACAACGACTTCAATCAAATGGTAAAACTTCAACTAAATTGATAAACTGAACAAATACAGAAGAACAGACATTTTGCTCAAATAACAAGACCCAGAACTCTTACTTTAAATTAAATGGTAGAAAATAACAGTTATCTCTTTTTATTACTTTTATATCCAATTATGATGGAACATTTACTGAAGTGAATAGGATTTATATTGCATTTCAGGCTGAATAGAGACGGTTAAAGTGGCAATAGACTTATGAGCTTTTTTACCTTGACTTTTTATTATGATGTAAATGCTGATGACGCGATGTAATGGCTATAGAATAATGACACAATGTTCATGTTCCCTACACAAGCCTTGATTTCACTAAACAACTCAGTTTGATGGCAGGCACAACATTTTGTGTTAAATGTTCCAATATACACACGTTCATGCCGTCAAAAAGTGATTTTTAATTTGCCATGAAAACTGTAAGAAGCATATCTGTTTCTCTTTTACAATAAAA